GACTGTTTCGTTCCATGGTTTCCAGCAGTGCTACTTGAAGGACATGGTCATCTTCTGCGCGGCAGTTCCTCTCTCAGCTCTGGAAATATCCTACAGGATAAGGCAGGTCTGGTGTCTGCAACGCTCACCACAATACTGCACAGCTGAGTGGGGTCCATGCTTCTCTGGAGACGGCATACACAAGGCTATGGCAGCCTTTTGAAAAAAAGGTGCAAAATACTATGGGCTGCAGATGCAATCAGGGGAGGGAGAAAACGGCATCATGGGATGTTGGAGCCGTGTTTCCAGTCACCCCTGTGAGAATGTTTTGATCCCATGAGGCATTGCAAGCCCTTCCAAAAAACCCCTGCGGAGAGTTGCACTGCTCCCTGCATCAATGCAAGCGCTGCTAGTGAGGACGCACTCCACCGACACAAGGAGTGTGGTGTTTACATGCACAACCAACTTAACTCTGGCGGTAGGATGTTGACTTAAGTTTGTAGTAAAAGACATGACTTACGCCTACACTGCAATGTATACACTACCAAGGGTTAGCAGGACCCAAATCTACACAACTTGAAACTGCCATCCCAGGGCCTGAGTGTCCACACTGCATATTGAACCTAAGTAATAAGAATTTTTGAGCCTAAGTCCCACATCAGGGCTCCAGGATCTACACTGCAATACGCAGACCCAAGTCCAACTAACCATATCCCAGACTTCCTAGGGCCCCTCCCAAAATATGGCCACTCCAGCTCATTGTTACTAATGCAATGTGGAAAACGTGACTGTCCGCCCCTGCATGTCACAGGAAGTTATAGAAATGCACCAACCCATCCTGTTGAGCTGTCATTTTGATCTGCTTGCACCCAGGAACAGGAGCCAGCAACATGGAGGAGTGGAGCTTCCTTGAGATGATGGTGGGCATTCCAGCGGTATTTTTTGACCCACTGAAGTACCTGATGGTGTCAATGACAGAGCAGGAGGCTGACAATACAGACATGGAAGACTGGAATTGGCTGATGCTGCTTGTGACTCTTGCTGTAGGATCTGATGCCCGCTACACAGATCAGCACTTCCGGAGCAGGAGAATAATGTACTAGAGAAGGCTCCTATTCCACCGAGGGTGAGTAACGAGCAGTACCTACATAGGCGGAGGGTGAGAGGAAGACGACGGAACTGTGGAGTGGAGGACCTTTGCACCAAATGAGCTGTCTGCCACAGAACCAAACTCTGTAGCGTAATGAGAAGAAAAGATGTGTATCCACCTCCACATGGTCGCCTCATACATGTCCGTAAGAGGCACGTCCTGGAGTGCGGCAGTAGTCGATGTTGGCACGCTCATGGAATAGGCCCATATCCCACCTGGTTGGGACCATCCTGATAATTGACAGCAGAGCTCAATTCACCCTGAGACCCATTTCAAGACTCTCTGGGTGGATATGGCCTGCCCTTTAATTCTCTACGCTATGGCAACAAATAGCCGGAGAGATTTCAGGAATGGCTTTGTCCTTTGTAGGTTAAAGACCAGGGCCCTACATATATCAAGGAAGTGAAGCCGCCGTTCCTCATTCAAAGCATGTGATTTGGGAAATCAGGTAGGTGCATAGGTAGGTTGAGATGGAAGCAGGAAACCACCTTTGGTAGAAATTTGGGATGCACGTGAAGTGAGACGGCTCTCTACTTGCATTCAGAAATATAGCTTACTCGCAGACGGTGTTGCGTGGAGGACTGCACTGTCAGAACAGGTGGATGGCTCTATGGACTATACAATGTTTCTGAGGAGGTTCATTGGCAAGTGAAAGGAGTCATCTGTCTTTTGATTGAAGAAGTGTGATTCATCAAAAGGGAGATCTTCAATCGTGTTCTGCACTTCTCTAGGGAAACCAGGATTCTCTCCTCATGACGATTCCAGTTGCCAAAATGCACAAGGAAGTGTCTGCTGAATCAACCGCAGCCTGAAGTATCGACTTTGCGAGCAACTTGCCTTCCTCTAGACTTGACAGGAATTGGGCATGATCTTGTTGAGGTAGCTCATTTGCCATGTCTATACTGTAAGAAGTCGTACTTGGCCATCACTGCCAGGTAGTTCGAGATCCAGAACTGGAGGCCGTCCGAGGAGAAAACCTTTCAACCCACAAGGTCCAGTCTCTTGCCCGCCTTGTCAGCTGGGGTGGAGCGTGGGTGCTGTTGTTTAGCTCACTCCATAGCAGCCTGAATCACCAGGGAATTGGGCAGAGGATGACAGAATAGAAACTTGGAACCCTGGAAGGGGGGGGGAGCGAGGACACTGTACCTCTTTTCTGTCCCTTTTGAGGTGGGGGTGCACATGGGCAGGGGATGGCACACAGTGTATATCTGTTGGAGAGTGTCCTCGTTTGATAGGCCCACCCTGGCCGGTACCAACGCGTGCAAAATGGCCAGCAGGTGGTGCTGCCTGTGCTGCACCTCCTCCAACGGTATTTCAAGAGCATGAGCTGTCCTCCATATCAGCTCTTGAAACTGACAGTAGTAGTCTGGGGGAGAGGAGAGTGTCGATGACACAGCCTCGCCTCGGGACGACGAGAGAAATCCCTCCGGATCTGTCAGTACCATCGGGGCCGGGCTGATTGGGGCATTGTCCAATCCGGATTTCAAACGCCTTCTTGTCGAAGGACAGGTCTGTGCTACAGGAGAGGATTCCCGTGCTGAACAGGACCGTTCTGAAGGCGAATATTGGGGCCACGAGCTCTCATATGGCCAAACCGGTTGTGGTGCCCAGGGACTCAGGTACCAGTACCTCCTGGATTCAGTCTAATGTACTGGGGGGTTCCGTGGCCAGGATTCAACTGCGTCCCAGGGCTGAGCTCCATGAGGTGCTTCTTGCAGGGGGTGGGTGGTTGGGGGGGATGGGCTCTGTTTTCCCGTGTACGGGCAGGGAAGTAGAGACAGATGCTGCACCTAGATGTGGTGTGGGTTTCCCACAAGCAGTACAGACAGCATTGGTGCTCGTCGTTGAGGGAGAACAAACGAGGACAGGAAATGCAGATTTTTAATCCCATCCTCTTAGTCATAATCCAGCATCCAGACCTGGAGGGGAACCGCATCCTGAGCCTTGCGGAACTTTTAGAAACAAGAAAAATCACTACAGAAACCAAGAAAATCCTGACTATAGAGAATACCCAGACACGGGTGCTGGGGGCGAAGTGGGGAGTTGGGGATTGTTTGGTGGGAAACCGCTGGAATAGTATACCCAGTCCTTAATCCTACAAAACGTTCAAAAACAAGAAAACAATACAAAACTACACAAAACAAAGTCCTTGCAATGAGAGGCCTGGACCTAGCATAACCCACAGCCATCTTGTAGGCTCACCCACCATAAGTTGGAAACAAAACTAGAGTCAGGGGAATTCGGCCTGGTCATAGGCAGACAGATAGAAAAGTATTAGCTGCAGCGCTACTAACTGGAGATAGACTGACATTCACAGTGTCATGAGAATGGGGAGAGAATGGATGAGTTAGCCTTGAGTTTCTGTCTGATAATAAAAAGTAAGAAGTTTTGCTGTTGCTAAAGAAATTTTAAATAAATAATTAGAAAGTGTACTTTAAATAGGCAGAGAGTCCCAGTCTACTGCTGGTTAAGCAATTCTACCCTGACAGTGTATTCCACTAATAAAGCACAAAGATAAGTAGACATTGAGAAGTTTTAACTAACTTTGAAAAACACAAAAGCTAATGCAATAGGTGGTCTTAGGCATGCGAACCCCTGTATAGTGAAAACGATTGGTTAGTGCGTTTGCATAGCTATGTCTTAAGTAAAATAATTGTTTAAAGCATAGATAAGAGAAATCCTCATTTTAATTATAATGGGGGTCTGGAGACGGGATCGTTGGATCTTAACTCCGAGACACAGCTCAAGACCAAAGGTGCTGGGACTTTTACCCCTGCACAACCATATTGTGCAGAAGACGGAGCAGATGCTGATTGGCCACCGGGAGACGTCCAGCTGTCTTTGCTGGGAGTGGTGAGCATTAGATGCTTGGTGTGGGTATTCTGTTGATGTGTCGCTAATACATACACGCACATCTTTAAGGATATTACTGTGTAAGGCTCTTTCACTGGGAACAGGGATATTGGCCTTGAGCCTAGGGAGGGGTAAAGTTGGGCCCCTGGTCCCTGCGTACCCACAAGGATGGGTAGGAGCATTAAACTGTGCGGGTTACATCCTGACTAAATAAAGAAAATGCATCACCAGGGACGAGGGGACAGCAGAAGCTCTGACTTGGACCGGGCGGCGGTGAGAGGGAACTGGAGACGCAGGCAAAACCACAAGGCAACGCAAGGGCGCACACGTGACCCCACAGAAACTACTACTATAAAAAGTTCAGCTCTGGGAGCATGCTGCATGCGCATTAGCCACAGTGGAATTCAATAGGGACCATCGCTCAAAGAAGAACCTGCTTTAATCAACACACACAGCATTGATGAAACTCTGTAGTGCAGACGTTGCCATAGTTAGGTCAGCCTAGCCCCCCACTATAGACACAGCTGGATCTGCGGAACAATTCTCGGCTGACCACTTTCAGCTGTAACGCTTGCAGTGCAGACATGCTTTTAGTTCCAAGCGAGCTCTCTGTGTGAGCCCATGACAGCTATGTAACAAAAACACCTCATGTGTCCTGGTCTTTACACCCAAATTATAGTAATTTCGAGTACAGAGGGAAACTGAGGTATGTAGTGGAATCACAGAAATATTACCAACGTTCCCACATCTATCCACATCCAATGGTCATAGCCCTCAGAGAGAAAGAAAAGGGTAGTGGCTAGATTTTAATGCATCCCATAAGGATAAATTAAAAATATAATTATTTGTTGTGCCATTGATCATTTAAAATTTGTGTACATCTAAAAATACTGGGATAGGACATAAGCCGTGGGGGGCAAGACATGGAAACCAGTCTACACATGTACGAAGAGTAAATGTATAGAGATTCTTTAGAGAACCCACAGCTTCCAATAACCAAAGGGACAGGAATTCTTACCCAGCGAGGCCACATTCTCATAGTTCTCCTCCATGACGTCTCTGTAGAGGGCTCTCTGAGTGGGGTCCAGCAGAGCCCACTCTGACTCTGTGAAATACACAGCCACCTCCTTGAAAGTCACCAGCCCCTGAAAGAGCAAGAGCCCCCCACTTAGTACTTTAGTACGACCCCAGGATTCATGGGAGAGCAGGAACAGGAAAATGGAAGCTCTGGGAGGGACATGGTTGCACAGTCCCACTCCCATCCTGAGGAGCCAGGAGGCATCAAGTTGAGGGGAGAAAAAGAGAGCCCCTCACGCTGGCCAGTGGGGACAGGGGTCTTCATGTTCATCACACACCTACTAGCCAGAGGCTGATATAGGAAATGGAGTCGCTGGCAGGGTCAGGGACAGCCTCCTGGCAGGAATCCCAATATCCCCCCCATAAAATTATATATAAACAAACACCTGGAAGAAGGAGGAAGTCGACAGGTAAAAATGTCAGAAGCTTGGAATTGTAGAAAATTAATAAGGTGAAGCAAAGCAACAAATGGAGAATCTATGGCCAGCAGAATTAAGGAAATATGAAGGAGGGTTGTGTTTATTTTAGCATATTAATAACAAAAAAAAATCCTAACAATGTTATTGGCCCATTACTAGACGGAAAGGACAGAACCATCAATAATACAGAAGAAGTAAAAATGTTCAGTGACTACTTCTCTCCTGGATTTGGGGAAAACAAGCAAATGATGTGGTATTTTTATGACAATGACACTCTTCATTAAAATCAGAACTCATGAGGACGTTAAATAGAAGCTATTAACATCAGACGTTTTTGAAATCAGCAGTTCCAGATATCTTCCATTCAGGAGTTTTAAAAATGCAGGTTAAGGAGCCCTCTGGACCATTAATGCTGTTTTTCAAGAGCTCTTGGAACACTGCGGAAACTCCAGAAGACTGGAAGAAAGCTAAAGTTGTCCCAATATTTACAAAAATTGTAAAAGGGATGACCAAGATAATAGGTCTGACTTCGAACCTGGGAAAGATAATGGGAGGGGGAGGGGGAAGAAGGGTTTAATAAAGAATTAAAAGAGGGTAATATAATTCATTCCAATCAACATAAATTTAGGGAAAATAGATCCTCACAAACTAATTGGATTTTTTTTTTTTGGGAAGGAGGTCAGAAGTTTGGTCGATAAAGGAATAGCATTAATGTAATATACTTTGATTTCTCTAAGGTATTTGACTTGGTACAGCATGATACTTAAACAACTACATCAACACAAAATTAACATGACATACATGAACTAGATTTAAAACCAGCTGATACATTTCAAAGTGTAACTGTAAATGGTCACGTGGGCATGTTTCCATTGGGGTCCCACAGGGATCGGTTATTGGCCCTCTGCTATTTAACTTGCTTATCAATGACTTGGAAGAGAACATAATATCATTGACGAAGTTTGCTGAAGACACAAAGTTTGGAGAGTGGTAAATAATGAAGTGTGTCAGTTGGTTCGGGCTGCAGCACTGGGAAGTTTTTGCAGCCCTGGCCAGGGGGTTATTTCCTGTTCCACAAACAGGGGAAAGTTCCACACCCAAACCCAAGGAGTCTGCTCCTTCAATGTGGGGCCTAATCCGAATTCATTCGGGCAAGTTTGTCCTCTCTCTTTCCCCACCCTGGTTATTTCCTGCCCTCTCCCACCTCCAGCAGCTCCCACCCTCCTGTACATTTACGGCCCATCTCCCTCCAGCCAGAACCCACCACCAGCTCCGTGATAATCCCATACCTCAGCTAACTCCGCTGCAGCCATTGCCTTTCCTCTGGAAGGGTGGGACGATCCAGAGCAAAACATGGACGTTATTCTGTAGCCTGTCGGGGCGAAAAGAGCAATTGGAGAGATTTCAGAATGGGCTTTTGTCCATTTCTTCACAGAGCCCCCACCAGACTTTTTTCCCTGGAAACTGACATTCTAGGCTCTGCCACACTGGAAAACAGTGACTTTATCAGAGGTAGGTCTTCCCACTAGGATTAAACCCTCCCAGGCCTGGTCTACAAAGACCTGGTCTACACGAGGTCAGCGTAAGCTGCATTGCATTGACTTAGTTGCACGTGTATCTGCACTTAAATTTGTCTCCCACCAGTGTAAACTGTCCATTATGCCAGCACGGTAACACCATCTCGCCAAACAACACTGAGCCATGGTCGATGTACTAAGATCAACACAGTGCAAGTGTAAACACTGTGTTACCTGTGCCGACCCTAACAGTTCTACAGCAGCTATCCCACAATGGCTCAGGGCAACAACTTCCCACCTAAACAATGAGAAACTGCTGCAGATAAAATGGATGGGAAAACACCCCAAAGCTGAGGAGATTTTAAATTGACACTGGACAATTTGAGAGAAAATGGAGAAAAATCTGAGGAGAAAGGAGAATTAGTCAATAATTTGAGAGAAAATAGGGAATTTACATGGATTTCCTATCCACAATTGATAGTTAGAGAAAAGGGGAACAATTGAGGAGATTGTTGCCAATTTTAGAGGGGAGGAAGCAGAGGAGATTTCACCCCCCCTCTCTCTGTAATCCCTGGCCTGCTGAGAGATGGTGAAATCTGCCATGTCAAACTCTCCCCTCCCTCCATCTCTATCTTCCCCCCCTTTCCCTTCCTGACACCTCCACCCTCCAGACACACAAAGGGCAAACCCCACTGGGGGCCCAGTCTCTTCCACTCCTGAATCCCCCAGTTTGCTCCCTGGGCAGATCCTGGCAGGAGCTGAGGGCAGCTGCTTCACTGCCTGTAGGCAGCTCCCAGCCCTCCCTCAGGGACATTCACAACCAGGGAGCACATTCCCAGGGGCTGTGAAATCGGAGGCTCCCGGGACATTTGTACAGAGTCACTTCCCTGCCTAACCCCAGCACTTTCCCTGAGGTCTCTGGCTCAGCGGTTGGTGTTGGCAGAGCCCGGGGCGACTGTGGGGGGCTAGTCCCAGCCACTGGAGAAAGTCTCT